GTTCCTGCCCATAGAATCCTCATTTAGGACATTTAAAAGGTGAAAGTGTCCAAATGGAAAATGGACACTCTTCCATCAAATAATGGGAGAGAAAGGCTCTGATATAGTTCCTTATCAGGGGTGAAATAGATTTGCTGTGTACATAGAATTGTGAGACACAAATGGATTTGAGAGGTATTTGGCTTATCCCTTCTGTTATGCAACTTGAATTGTAAACTATCAGAAACAGACAGCTATTCTATTTTTAAATTACCCCAGAAAAGGTGTTTTCACGCCATTATAGTTTATTTATTCAAGTTTCTTTTGGAAGAGAAGACTAATCCAGATGTAAATAATAAAATCTGGGAGCTTGCTAATAAGCTTCATTAATTCAGTTTCTTCAGACTTGTAATTTGTGATAATTAAAGAACCAGCTAAAATCTGATTTACTGTATTCAGGAGGGCAAAGCTTATGAAGCACAGTATAGATATAGCCTAAATGAGGCTTTGGGAAAATGTTTAAACTACTTAAAACTAATTATTTAAAATAGATTAAGGGATTCCTTTATCAGTGGTGGTATCTTGAGTTGCTGCAATTATGAATAATTATTAAAAAGTAATTAGCTTCTACTGTGGAAAAGTTTTTATAACATTTGCCCTTAGAAGATTATACTAGAAGTAATAAATCTTTATTTTGCTTTAAACTTTCTATAATTCATAATGTTCACGAGTTCAGTCCTTCCTTTACCATAATTAGTCCAAATTTGTGAAGTTTTGCCTTATTTCTGGAATTAGAGAATACTGGCATTAAAAAACTATGATATTTTGGAGAAAATTTAAAATTCCAGGTCAACATTACTATACTGAATCAGGTTATACATACAGAACACGGATTCTTCTAGATTGTGCCTCTTAGGAAAGAGATGCTCAGGTAGGGGTATTTTTGTGTTTTTTTAGGGGGGGCATATTTTTAACCATCAATTAAGCACCCTGTTACTCCTTTCGCTGTACTGCTGATCCTGCTAAAGACAATTAAAATGGCCTTTTCTTGCATTCCCCAGCATTCCTTGCTTCTATTCTATATTGAAGGTGATCGATAAGAGATGTGATCAAATTAGAAGAGGAAAACCAAGATAGGAAGGCATAACTGATAATAACCAAATGTAAGCAATAAACAAAGATGGTTTAATAGATATTTATTTTAGAAAAACAATAATTGTTCAGAGCAAACTTAATGGAGATTACTAATAAAAGTCAGTGCTTTTGCTGCCAAAAATTTTGTGGCACTAAAAATATTTATTGAAAAAATATTGAGAGTGGAAAAAGTGAATTTGATTCCACAATAAGACATGTAAAAAAAATATTTTTAGCAGTTTTATTCATAAGAACCCAAATTAGAAACAACCCAAATGTTTTTCAACAGGAAAATAGATAAGTAAATTGTGGTACATTCATACAGTATACCACTACACAGCAGTAAAAAGAACAAACTACTAATATACATACTAACATGGATGAATCTCAAAAACTTTATATTGACGGAAAGAAGACAGGCACAAAAGGGCACATTCTGTATAATTCTATTTATGTGAAGTTCAAAAACAGGCAGAAGTAATAGTTGATGATAGAAGTGAGAATAAAGGTTACCTTAGAAGGGGAATGTTCTCGGAAGGGACATGAGGGGACCTTACGTGGTATTGGAAATGTTTTATATCTTGATCTTGGTGGTGGTTGCACAGGTGTGTACATACAGAAAACATCACCAAGCTATACACTTGAGATTAAGGCACTTTATGTACTTTATATATCTTAACTCTCAAAAAATAAATTCGATTACTATTATCAAGCAATATGTCATGTTTAAATGATAACCCAAATTAATTTTTTAAAGTAAACCCAAATCATAAGACCATCTTAAGGTTAAGTATGATAAAAGAGACATGCTAATTTATTTTCTAAGATTTGGATCATATTTTACTAAATGAATGTATTAACCAGCTCCTTCTAATTTGATGGCTTTTTTAGCAGGTTTGATACTTTATATATGCTTTTTGCCCGTTAAAATTCAAGAAATATTTATACTAAAATCTCAGGTCAGTCAGAAACATGTTTTAAAGAACAATGCCCTCATTTACAACAATTTTGTTTTCCAGGGGGTTTGGGGACATTCCATGCCTTTCTAAATACAGCTGTACATGTGGTCATGTATTCCTACTATGGACTGTGTGCATTGGGACCAGACTACCAGAAGTATTTGTGGTGGAAAAAATATTTGACATCATTACAACTTGTGAGTAATTAATTTTCTCTAAAACCAGATTTGAAGCTAAACTGGAGTCACTTGTTTTTGATATGAATTAGGATTCTAACTAAAGTAGAATAACAATGTTTACAAAATAATGACAAAAGATATAATGTGTCTAGCCCCTATGGGGCATGCCATCATTATCCTTTTCTGTGTTATTTGAACTTTTTGAGGAACTTCATTGAAAATAATGAAGCATGTTTACTAGCCGAGTGATTCAAACAATGAAACCAGCATGAATATCTTTATACCATCTTTATACTACTTTACACTTTTATACCAAGTAAATGTATTTATGATCAGTATAATCTCAAAATTATGTGAACCTCAATAGCACAAAGCTCAATTAGAAGTTAGAATTTTCATATTCAAGATCTAAATGGCCTTGAGGGTATGTAACCCTAAGGGAATTATGAGTCTTCCTGGGTGCCTCCCTATCTAGTCCTAACATTTATAAGTCTATCTTTTCCTCCAACTAATAAAAAAGATTGTGAAGATCAAAGATGTACCTAGACCAATGTAAATGTGTTTCATAAATTTGAGTACTGTCTTCAAGTAAACAGTATTCAAAAAGGCAGAGTCACTCAGCTTAGACCTAAAAATACCTTCCAAACGTTAATCCTAAAAATATTTGGCATCATTTTTTTTCTTGAAGAGTAACTGTGGATTTGTGATCAGAAAGAATTCTACCATCCTTGTACTTCCAGGTGTATAGTCTACAATAAATTGGTGTCATATTCTGCTAGTTACACGAGGAGAAAGTCTGAATTTTGGCATAGATAGCCTATCGTGGCACAATTTTTATTAAAATCCTATAACTTGCTAGATGAAGTTCAGCACTTTCATATAATGTGTTCTCCCAGGTGAGAGATTGAAATTTTAGTCTATAAGGATACCAAATCAAGATCAGAGTGTGTCCTTAAAGAGTTGGTCATTGTATTCAAAACTGACAAAAACCTAAGTGACCATCCATAAGGAAATGGTCAAATAAATTATTTTAATTCTTACGTTTGAGTATTATGAAGCTATGAAAATTATTCAAATTGGATTTCTTTTTAAATTTTTTTTCTGATTATAAAGTAATATAGGCTTACTGCAGAGAAATTAGAAAATCTAGTTAAGCAATGAGAAAGATAAACATAATTTCACCACCCAGGCAAAATCATTGCTGACATTTTTATTTTGTTCTTTTCCAGCTTTTTTTCCTATATGCATATATATGCAGAGCCCTTATATAATTTGCATTATGCTGCATATACAATTTTATATTGGCCCTTTTTCAATTAACATGTTCTTAAATGCTGTGAAACTTTTGAATAATGTGATAAAATACTTACGTAGAGAAAAGGAATAGACAGTTGTTTATTATTTCTAATGTGTCGGTTATACACACACA